TGAATGAATACTTGTATATCACACAAGAATTACTTAGGACTTATGATTAAAACACTATGAAGTGGAATATACATACAATGCTAATATAGAAAAGAGTAAAATCTGACAGAATATACACTATTATAGTGTGAATTGAAAACGAAACCGAAATCAATTAACAAAATTTATCAAGTTTTGTAAAAAAAACATATTTTAGAATACATGTATATGGAATTAAAATACAAATAAGATGCTGCAACAATATAGAATAGAATTAAAACATATAAGAAATGAAATAAGACAATAAAAGACAATTCAAAATGTCAGGTGGCAGAGGTAACCAGGGCACAGTATGAAGTATCACTCTTTGCAGATATTGCAAAGGCAGATGGGGCCATCCCGGGAATGGACCAGCCTCCTGAATTCTTTAAAGTTTTCAACTTTCCGGAAGTCATTTGGGAGACTGTTCCACACCCGGGCGGCCTCAAAAGCAAACGATTTATGTCCATACTTCACAGTGTTGACCCTGGGTACCTCTGCAGTACTTTCTTTCATGAAGTCATAATTAGACATCTTAATATTTACAAGATTATGAATATATTCAGGAGAAATTTTGTTTATAATTTTAAAAACCTCACAACCCATTTCCTTCAGACACCTTACATGAAGCCTGTCGCTGTTGGTGATACTGAATAAGTGTCTGAACGATGAGATGTGATCATTATGTATACACCTTAAAGCTCTTTCTTGTATATTTTCTAGCTTTCTGACACTCTTCAAGGAACAATAGTGCCAGACTAAAGGACAGTAGAAAAAATTTGAAACAATAAAAGAATTATAAATTACAAGTCTACCTTGTTTGGTTAAAAAACTCCCAATTCGCTTTAAAATGGACAATTGCCTTGAGGCTTTCCTACAAATTGCAGAGATATGAGTTTCAAAGTTTAAAAATTTTGTCAGGAACAATATCTATTTCGCCAATACTAAAAGACTGTATAGCATCTACCGAACGTTTCCCTATGCAAATGGCCTTGAATTTATCAGGGTTTGCTTTCATCTGGTTAAATTGAAACCAGTCTATTAAATTTTGACAGTCATTATCAATATTATGTTTTAAAACATCTGGGTTTTACTTTGATTCACTGACAGTGTTGTCGTCTGCATACTTATATTATTTACAGGATGTCACATATAAAGCATATCATTTACAAATACATTAAAAAGCAACGGTCCTAAAATAGAACCTTGGGGTACCCCTTCAGCACTTCCAGTCAGTCACCGCATTTGGAGCCAATTTTTACCTGCTGCTTCCTGATGCTCAGGTAGCTGGACACCAGGTTAACTGAGGCTTTGCTCAGGCCATAGACATTCAGCTTCCCGACCAATAAGTTATAAGGAAGTCAGTCAAAAGCCTTAGAGAGGTCCATCAGTATGGCGACGACATATTCATGGATATCCAGGGCTCTACGCCAATCCTCAACAAGTCGCAATAGGGTGGATTGACACCCAAATCCTGGTCGGACGGCCGCAAGGAAAGGATGAAAATCATTTCTAAAAAAGGCAGTCAGTTGATCACACATGGTTCTTTCAAAACGTTCGATATACAAGGTAAAATGCTGACTGGTCGATAGTTTGTTTATCTAAAATATCTTTTTTTTCTTAAAAACAGGAACTACCTGTGCCTCCTTGAGTCTGCAAGGGAACTCTGATTTATCAAAACAGTGGTAAATCATGTCGCTCAGAGGCACACTGATGTCAGTACAACAGGCTTTAAGGAGTTTTGAAGATATGCCATCGGAACCAGTGGCCTTCTTCGCCTTCATCTTAGACATAGCCCTTTCAAACACGAAAGGAGAGACATGATTAAAACAAAGTTTTGACTGATCATAAATGTATTCCCTAATCTCTTTTAAAATAATTCATCAGAAGAATCTTATGTACCAATATCAGAAGCAACATTTACATAAAAAATATTAAAGACATTGCTGACCTCTGTTTTAACACTGATAATGGCGTCATTTTCCTTTAAAATTACATTATTGCATTGTGCAGTGCCCTTATTCGACAAAAAGGGTTTAATGGTGGGCCAGAAATCTTTTAATTTGGGACCACCTGCACAGCGTTCGAAAAAATAGTTGCGCATGGATTGTTGACGTAATTTAGACACATACTTTCTATGGTTACGATATGCCTCCCAATTAGAGGCTGATTTGCAACCAGTATATTTGTTAAAAAGTATACGTTTCTTATACACAGCTTTACGCAAGTTTGAATTAGAAAATGGACACTTTTTCTGTTTTACTATTTTTTCTTTTACAGCCGCATGTTCATCAATAATGTCAGTGATAAGTTTTTCATGGACCCAATAAATATCATCAACATCATCAAAAGCATAAGTTGCATGGAAACGGATTTTTTATCAAATTTTTTAAAACATCTATATTTCCTCTTATCTTTCATAACTGGTTTACAAGTCCCTTTAAAAACAGTCCCAATCATATGATGCCAGTCACTAAGACCACAGTTAAAAGCAAACGTTTTAAATAAATAAGATGTACTGTTGCTCAAAATGACATCAACAGATGAGGGCTGCGAATTTTTATCATCATATAGTCATAAATTCTTATTAACACAAAATACAAATATCTAGACGTAATTTGAAGCAGCGACTTCCTGGATGTAACTGCTTTGCGGACAGACTATGTTTGAGTCGGAAATGTTTCGTTGACCTTCCAAATATAAGATACTGTAATAACACGCGCGTGACCCCCAATCCTCGAAATTCCAGGAGTTACGTTCACTTACGTTCACTGAAGCCCTATGATATGTCACAATAAAATCGAAGGCATTCTGTTATTTGATTGTTTTCATTGAAAAACAATTTAAAAAAAGGATCATTATAGGCTTGCCCTTTAAAAATGACATAGGAGCAACACCAGACTTCAAAGGGAGGTCAACTTTTCCGTAACTCTGCGGCGCGATTCCTTTGATGTACATCAAATGATCAAACTAGTCCATTTGTATCACCCACCAGGTGGTTCGTACAGGACAATTGATTTTGTCATGTCATATTCCAGGGCATCCTCGTTACTCCAGGGATAACGCTAACTCACGTTATCTGCACCCTGGAATATGTCATAGCAAAATCGAAGGCTCATACAAGATTTGATTTCGAATGTCGGTCCTCTTTAATCTTCAAAGGATAGGTATCAACCTAGAGACTTTTTATTTTACCTGAGACCAATCAAATAGCTAGTCGCGTGCCTTACGTTTTGCTGCGACGTATTCCAGAGGTGCAGAGAGCGTAAGTGAGCATTACTCCTAGAATTTTCGAGGATGGTGTCCCCACGATTGTAGGGAGTGTTTCATGTCTGGTAATTTGGTCGCTTTGACCTGTATTTGACCTCTCACCTTTTCGTTACCTTAAACTTACTTTGCAATAATGTTATAAGAGTGATCTCCATGAAGAGCATACACAACATACAATATATTCTATAAAAATCATGTAAGATTCAATGTTAAAGAAACATTATCAATAGTAATGCAAATGGATACACTGTTTTATACAATAACAAAATAAGAAATGTATTTGTAACAAGTCAAGTTGTATTTGTAAGTGATAAAAAAGAAAATAATGTTTATATTTATCGGAGAAAAATATATTTTATCAACAAATCTGTTTGGTCAAAGCGCGAACGCATACATTTGTGATAAAAACAATCCTTCAAAGGGAAACGCAAAATATAATCAATGTTGGAACGCCACTATAGGTACTACTTTCATTTACTTTACATGTACCACATGATATATTTGAAATGTTCATTTTGTCATTATAATTTTCTTTGAATTTGAAAGTGTTCATTATTAAAAAAAAGTCTGGAAATACTTTGCAATGCGCAGAACGACAATACTATGATCGGAGTAATTAACTGTATAGTCTGTTGAGAATACGCAAAAGTGTTTGGTGTCTGTTTTTTCAAATTATGAATATCATGTGATAAATAGAATCTCACATTCGTGTTCATACCATATTGAATATGATAAAGTTCAATGAGGCACTCGGTCAAAGGATCGTGTCACATCAATTTATTTAACTCGTTTAATAGATTCAATTTTACATGGACATTCATGTAAAATCCTTCATTTATTACATTTTACAAATGCACCAGTGATATATCAGAAATTATCAGTGTGATAGAAACTCAGATATTCGAAATGTTATATTTTCACATGTGACGATTTAAGGTCCTTTATCGATTTTATATTGACCTAGCAAAATGGTGTTTGCTATTTACTGCTGTCAGGCGTGACGTCATTAGAACCGGGCGTCAAACATTACACTGCTCATTTCCGTAATTTATGATTCAGCATTTTTTTTTTTTTCGTTTTCCTTCATAAAATGTAATAAATAGAAAACCTTATGGTTTCCCGTTAAATACCACTCGTAAAAATGTCGGTTTTCTGCCATACTCGTTATATATTATATGGTATTTTCAACGGGAAACCATTTTGATATCCTCTATTTATCAGTACGTAAATATCTAAACATGATGGAATATAAATCACGGCTTGTATAGTACAGAAACAAGACACAGTGATTTTGTACGTTTCCTGGGAAATGTAAATATATGTCTTTTTCCATTAAATTACACACGAGTCTCACAAATCGTACAACCTAGACACTGTTGGAAGCCGTGTTGTGAATTTTACTTGCAAATGCAACTTATGGAGACTCACGGTCCGGATCATGATCCACATATGTTACAGAGTTCATTATGTTTTCAATGCCTCCGCTAGGAGTCGAAATTTGTACCTCTGGCTTACTAGTCTTACGTTCTACCGATTGAGCTAAAGGGAAATTTTCCCTTGCTGAGTCGGTAGGAAGCGGCTAGTAGTTTACCAGGGTGACACATACATCGTCAACGTAATAACTAGACAAATATTTTTGCATCGATATCGTAGTATTTGTCCAATGGTTTCAATTTGAATTCCACCCTTGCCTCGACGAAACTCGATCAGAATCAGAAGTCAAACTCTTTAACTGCATCTTCGTTTACTTTATCGGGCAGCGGCTTTACCTGCATCTTTTTACCATCACTGATTTTAAGAACTTTCTGACAAAACCGGCCTCTGAGATAAATAAATATCTCGATGAATAGTTGTATGATCTCTACAGCACTAAGGACCGATGCCCCTAAGAACAAGCCAAGCGTGCCTCCTATGTTCGCCAGGAACTGGAACTCCTATAACACAGGAAAATACTTTTAAAACGTCATTAGCGGAGACCATGTTAAACATTGTAAGCAAAACGTTCATCTTAAAGGACGTTTGAAACATGCAAGGCCATATACATTATTTACAGGAACACTTGACGTATCAGCAGAACTTAAATCGATGCCCTCTTCCCTCACCACCCAACTTGTAAACAAGTCTGCGACTGAGGATCACACATCCTTTTTTTTTTTTTAATTTTACACGAGACTTAACAATCAATGTCTCACTGTATTGTGGTTTTCCGAATATAGAGTAACCCCCCTTTACTTTCGTTTTGGCTATGACTATATCACAGTTGCCCCAGGACACTCCAGTTGACCAGGTAGCTCAATCGGTTAAAACGTTAATATATCTTTCCAAATTCAAGGGTTTGAATACCGGTTTAGCACCACTGAAATATAATCTTAGACCACTGTGATTGAGTGTATGCTTATATTTCATCTTACTTATTTCTCAAAAAACTCCACAAGGCAGGGTTTTCTTTTCAGAAATAATTCATCAATGCTATAGGTTAACCGGAAAAAACATAGAACTGGCCCGAGGATTCTTAAGATGACTAAATGTTACTTAACCTCGAAAACATAATAATTTGTCACATATAATTTGTTTTCAATGTCGACTCTATTTCAGTTCCGGTTTTACTTCAAAATTCGAAGACAAAAAGTAAAAAAGAATGCCGAAAATTTGACATTTCACAGCGTCTTAAAAGGTATTGTTTTGAAGATAAAGCTTACTAGTATGCGATACTTGTCTGTCTGTTGGGGTGATCCCGTCACTTATCCTGGCCTCATATAAGAAGATATCTATTTGCCATAGGTAGTAATAATATTTGTTAATATATGTGTGAATTTTACATATGATGAGGAATGAGAAATACCTCAGAAACTGTATCTACAATAAAGGGGATGTCTTCGAGTTATGTTGTTAACCTATCTAAATGAGGTTCGATCGGGTTAAGGTTGCTGTCTGGGACTGATTGTTTGCTCTCGTTGAGAATAACGCATCATCCAATCTAACTGTATGAGGCATTATATGTTTCGACCCCTATATATTCGTTTATATTCCCGTGCTACTCTTTTTATAAGACATTGAAAAAAGTCAAAATTGATCTGATATTACTGTGACAAAAATAAAATGATCCTTTCATCTCTCGTACGTCAGAGTCATCCTCGACGCTCGCGTACGTTCTCTGCACCCCTGGAAATGTGTGTCATAGCAAAATTGAAGGCTCGCGGCTAGCTGTTTGATTTGTCTGCGGTAAAAATAAAATCCAAAAAATGACCCATCGCTAGGCTGATACCTGATTACAGTGGAGTGGCAATCGACATCAAAGCCAGTCAATTTTACCGTTACGTTACTGCGGGATTATTTTGATGTACATCTTTTGTATCATCCACAATATGACGCATATTGAACCTTCGATTTTGTCATTACATGTTCCAGGAATGCAAAGAGATTAAGTGAGCGTAACCACTGGAGAATCGAGGATGAACAATATTTTACCTGTATGCTTTAGCTATGTGACCCTGTACGACCTTATTCTTTTTCGAGATAATAAGGCTTGATACACCGTTTTAATTTTGACTTACGTCATACAAAGGGCTTTCCGTGATGGCTTCGTAGTTAATATCTTCAAAGTAGATTACGGTTCTTAAGAAGTTATCGCGGGCCCTGGAAGAAATATTTTCAGTTATTCATTTTATCAAATGATTTTAAATATTAACAGTCTACAACGGCATGATTTCAATAATAGATCCCGCAAAATTTGAGTTATTATCTCATAACCTTATTACAGAATGTGACAAGTTTCCTTGCCGTCGACAAAATACATGTGGGTTGAACTATGCAAAGATTCTGCAAACGAGACTCAACTGTATGACGTCATCACACAGGTCATGTTAGCGGAGCTGTTACTTTTATTTATCCGACCACTCTTTGATAGTGTTTGAAAACGAGACTTATATCCGTTGATAAGTCCTATGCATGACATGATTATGAAACATTCACAGAAAAATATTATAAATACAAGGACAATATTTCGATTTCAGTCAGGTTATGAGAAAGCTAGCTATTATAAATTTACTCGCAACCAAGTGCAGTTACCACCTCATAACCCAGCCACAATCGAAACCTATTCATAAAAAACTATTTTTATTTACTGATGAAATTTTGTCAATTCACTTTTATCACTCCTCTTGGCTCGGATGGACGCACGTATAGGGTTTGATGTGGGAAGTTTCGAATACCCGGAGAAAACGCACGAAGCGATAGGAACCTCGCCGGCTTAGGTTTTTGCCAAAATTATCACGTTGAGTAAATCACTACTGTATTTCTATGACACTGCATATAAATCAAATCAGTGTTACCACCAGTGAAAATAGTATATTGATAGCAAGTAAATTTCAACAGAAAGACATCCGTTCTCTCATCTACCTGACATTGAAGTACTTGTCTTACACTGTGACGTCAGCTTCCTTGCTATCATTTTGATATCGTCCACAGAATTCCTCTAAGTAGGTCAGGTTCTTATTCCAACACAATCTCCTCACCAGTGCATATTTCTGTAACATAAAACAAACATTATTTTCAAATCTATTCGTTTGACTTTTATTTAGCGTTACAGTTAAATCTATGTTCCCCATGGCTATTCCAATATGACCGCTATTCAGTTTTCTTAAATTTGGTGTTAACTTTAACTTATGGTTCCCATTGGCTAATGGAGAAAGACCACTAATATTTTGTTTTTAAATTTCGTGTTGCAGTTAAACCTTTATTGATAACGTACCAAATAATCGTCGTTTGGCCATGGACGTGTACTTATCGTCTTCTCGTACACAAGTTCTCTGTAATAATAATAATAATAATAATATTTTATTTTTAGAGGGTTCAACCCATTTAGCTAATCTCCCATCAGGCCCTTTTTAAAAAGGTATACAAACATAGATGAACATACAACGTACATGTATAACAAAACATAATCAATAATTAACATGCACTCAATACTATACATAATAGTACATAAACATATGAAGATAGTTAGACACACACTTGTTTACAATAGTCGTGACATTTTACTTTAAATTCATAAAGGTTGCTGGGAGTCTTGATTACAATAGGAAGTTTATTCCATATTTCAGGTCCAGAATAACTGAAAATTCTTTTTAGAGTATTCATTCTAGGCTTTGGTACATGTAACTGCAAATTGTGATGTGTAGCTGATCTTAGAGCATGAGTATCATTAGTAGAATTAACAGGAACAAGCATGTCTGATATGTAAGATGGTGTCGGATTAGTAATAGCCTTATATACAAGAATGCACTTGTGGTACATCATTTCCTTATCAAACAGTCACCAGTTGAGAGTGACAAACAATGCCCTTAAATTATTCTAGCTGCACGTTTTTGAAGTTTTACTAGACAATTGACATTTTTCTGTGTAGTTGATCCCGATACAGTACAATAATAATCCATAACTGGCATGATATAAGATACATAGAAAAGCTTTCTAGCTTGTAAAGGTAGAAACTTGTTTAGCCTCTGTCAAAGGGATATCTTTGATGCTAGAAATTTACAATTTACAAAAAAAAAGTTTTTCAATATGGAAATTCCAGGTTAAGTTATTATCAATATGCACACCTACATGTAGGAGGTTTTGTTGTGAAACAATGGTTAGCGGTATGTTACATATACTTCAATATCATATTGTTTAGACAGCTTATTTACAGAACCTATTAACATAGTGGTTGTCTTATCTACTTTTATATACATTCCGTTTTTATGACACCATTATTTTAATGTATTCCATATCATTTTGTAACTTTTCATTGATAAAGGCACTATTTGGACCTGAAGCATGACACGTTGCAACATCTGCCTACACATTAACTATGGTAGATGTGGTATAAATGGTAAAAATCATTGATATACAACAAGAATAGAATAGGGCCTAGTATTGATCCTTGGGGAACAACATATTTAACTAATTCATGTTTTGATTTGAAGCTGCTGGGTTCTATCACAAAGATAAGAAATTATCCATTATAATGAACATGTGCTAAAATTATACAAATGCAGTTTTTTCTAATAGAATCTTGTGGTCCACAAGATCAAAAGCCTTTCTCATATCCAAGAATATTGAACCTGCCATATTTCCTTTATCAAGTTCACTAAGCCTGCTATCAGTTATTATTGTCGAAGCTGTGTGACATGAGTGACGTTCTCTAAATCCAGATTGAGTTTGATGCAATATATCATGATGTTTGAGATAGTTATTAATCTGTTTTGAATCATGCTTTTCTATAATTTTTGAGATAGTTTGCAAACAGAAAAATTATTCTGTTATGAAGTTTTTATCAGAGAGGTAGTTCTGTTGCGCCATAATCTATAGTTTTGCCAGTCCTTATTTTTATGGTACTGGTCACGTAATCTTCTAGCATCATGAATTTCACTATCATACCACTCAGGTTGTCTGATGGATTTAATTCTTTTTAACTTCTGAGGTGCATGCTTATCTAAGATGGTAAAGATTTTTTTATATAATAGTTCCAAACTTTCATCAGTATCAGTCATTTCCTCTATTTTTCTAATGATGCATTCTTTAAGTCTTCAATAAATAGATCTTGGGTATTTTCTTTTGTAGCATCTGTATCTCATAGAGACATGATGTCCACTCTTTTTGTTTTCTTGCACTATGTCCAATCTTATGCATTATACAAACAGGATAGTGATCACATATAGAGAAAAAAGGTACTTTTACCTCAATGATGTTTTTACGGTGTGTTACATAACATGATCGATGATAAAGGACGTATTTCGTTACCCTTGTTGGTACAGTGATTAGTTGTTCTAAACTGTATATATTAAAAACGCTTATCCATTTTTTATTTGTACAACTCGGGTTAAAGTTTATATTGAAATCACATAGGATAATATATTCCATATTTTCTGCTGGAGATTTCTGTAGCTGTTGTTCAAATAAATCGATCCAAAATGCACTTGAGCTTGGTGGTCGAGAAACGATATAGCAATTTTTTCCATTCCAAAAATTGTATCAAGTTGTTTCTGGAATTGAACATTGTATGAATTTGTTTCTGGAATACAACATTGTATCAAGTTGTTTCTGGATTGGGACATTGTATACATTTGTTCTGGAATTGAACATTGTATGACTTTGTTTCTGGAATACAACATTGTATCAAGTTGTTGCTGGATTGGAACATTGTATACATTTGTTCCGGAATTGAACATTGTATGAATTTGTTTCTTGAATAAAACATTGTATCAAGTTGTTTCTGTATTGGAACATTGTATACATTTGTTCTGGAATTGAACATTGTATGACTTTGTTTCTGGAATACAACATTGTATCAAGTTGTTTTTGGATTGGAACATTGTATGAATTTGTTTCTGAAATAAAACATTGTATCAAGTTGTTTCTGGATTCGAACATTGTATACATTTGTTCTGGAATTGAACATTGTATGACTTTGTTTCTGGAATACAACATTGTATCAAGTTGTTGCTGGATTGGAACATTGTATACATTTGTTCTGGAATTGAACATTGTATGAATTTGCTTCAGGAATAAAACATTGTATCAAGTTGTTTCTAGATTGGAACATTGTATGAATTTGTTTCTGGTATAAAACATTGTATCAAGTTGTTTCTGGATTGGGACATTGTATACATTTGTTCTGGAATTGAACATTGTATGACTTTGTTTCTGGAATACAACATTGTATCAAGTTGTTTCTGGATTGGGACATTGTATACATTTGTTCTGGAATTGAACATTGTATGACTTTGTTTCTGGAATACAACATTGTATCAAGTTGTTGCTGGATTGGAACATTGTATGAATTTGTTTTTGGAATAAAACATTGTATCAAGTTGTTTCTGGATTCGAACATTGTATACATTTGTTCTGGAATTGAACATTGTATGACTTTGTTTCTGGAATACAACATTGTATCAAGTTGTTGCTGGATTGGAACATTGTATGAATTTGTTTTTGGAATACAACATTGTATCAAGTTGTTTCTGGATTGGACCATTGTATACATTTGTTTTGGAATTGAACATTGTATGAATTTGTTTTTGGAATAAAACATTGTATCAAGTTGTTTCGGGATTGGAACATTGTATACATTTGTTCTGGAATTGAACATTGTATGACTTTGTTTCTGGAATACAACATTGTATCAAGTTGTTGCTGGATTGGAACATTGTATACATTTGTTCCGGAATTGAACATTGTATGAATTTGTTTCTGGAATAAAACGTTGTATCAAGTTGTTTCTGGATTGGAACATTGGATGAATTTGTTTCTGGAATAAAACATTGTATCAAGTTGTCTCTGGATTGGAACATTGTATGAATTTGTTGCTGGAATAAAACATTGTATCAAGTTGTTTCGGGATTGGAACATTGTATACATTTGTTCTGGAATTGAACATTGTATGACTTTGTTTCTGGAATACAACATTGTATCAAGTTGTTTTTGGATTGGAACATTGTATGAATTTGTTTCAGGAATAAAACATTGTATCAAGTTGTTTCTGGATTGGGACATTGTATACATTTGTTCTGGAATTGAACATTGTATGACTTTGTTTCTGGAATACAACATTGTATCAAGTTGTTGCTGGATTGGAACATTGTATACATTTGTTCTGGAATTGAACATTGTATGACTTTGTTTCTGGAATACAACATTGTATCAAGTTGTTGCTGGATTGGAACATTGTATACATTTGTTCTGGAATTGAACATTGTATGAATTTGCTTCAGGAATAAAACATTGTATCAAGTTGTTTCTGTATTGGAACATTGTATACATTTGTTCTGGAATTGAACATTGTATGAATTTGTCTCTGGAATAAAACATTGTATCAAGTTGTTCTGGATTGGAACATTGTATACATTTGTTTTGGAATTGAACATTGTATGAATTTGTTTCAGAAATAAAACATTGTATCAAGTTGTTTCTGGATTCGAACATTGTATACATTTGTTCTGGAATTGAACATTGTATGAATTTGCTTCAGGAATAAAACATTGTATCAAGTTGTTTCTGGATTCGAACATTGTATACATTTGTTCTGGAATTGAACATTGTATGACTTTGTTTCTGGAATACAACATTGTATCAAGTTGTTGCTGGATTGGAACATTGTATACATTTGTTCCGGAATTGAACATTGTATGAATTTGTTTCTGGAATACAACACTGTATCAAGTTGTTTCTGGATTGGAACATTGGATGAATTTGTTTCTGGAATAAAACATTGTGTCAAGTTGTTTCTGGATTGGAACATTGTATACCTTTGTTCTGGAATTGAACATTGTATGAATTTGCTTCAGGAATAAAACATTGTATCAAGTTGTTTCTGGATTGGGACATTGTATACATTTGTTCTGGAATTGAACATTGTATGAATTTGTCTCTGGAATAAAACATTGTATCAAGTTGTTTCTGGATTGGAACATTGTATGAATTTGTTTCTGGAATAAAACATTGTATCAAGATGTTTCTAGATTGGAACATTGTATGAATTTGTTTCTGGAATAAAACATTGTATCAAGTTGTTTCTGGATTGGAACAATGATACATTTGTTCTGGAATTGAACATTGTATCAATATGTCCTGGAATGGAACGTTGTATCAATATGTTCTTGAGTGGAACATTGTTTGCATTTGTTCTGGAATTGAACATTGTATCAATTTGTTCTGGAGTGGAACATTTTATCAATTTGTTTCTTGATTTGAACCTTGTATCAATTTGTTTCTTGAAGGGAAAATTGTATTATGTAGATTTGGAATGGAATATTGTATAAAAAAAATTTGGAATGGAATATAACATCAAATTGTTTCTGGAATGGAAAATTGAATAATTTTGTTTAGGAAAGGAACCTTGCATAGTTTTGTTTTGGAATGAAACGTTTTTGTTTGATTTTTTTGGTTGGATAATAGCAGTATGGTGATGATATCTTTCCATTTTTGTGTACGGGGTCCTTACTTACTCACAGGGACTGCCACATGAACATTCCAGTGATCCTTTTACGTACAACGCTTCCACCTTCAACTGACATCTTCTGTCTGTGTGATAAAACGAAAAGCGCTGGCATTTGATTCGATTGTCTTTCATTTAGCAATATTGACGGAACAGCGATTTAACAATCTGTGTCAGAAGAGTGACTGATTCAAAGCTACTTAAAGTACTAATTTAAGTGGACTATCAAGCGTCACACGATATACACAATTCACATGACATTATTTACATTTTGATAATGATGACATGAACACAACTTCAAAATATACGTTCACAGAACGCATGCAACGCAAACGTAAATATGACGTTTGTGAGTTGAAAAAGCTATGGCGGATAACTGTCTATAACGGAAATAAAATATTCACGAGTAATTTTTTTTTAGAACAATCTTTCAACACTTTCCCATCCGAGGAGCAACTTTTGAATAAACTTTTTGATTATGTGATGTGCTATGCAAAAACATAAAATCGTATGACGAAAAAGTGGTCCTCCTTTTGGAAAAACTGTGACAGATATTTCCTGGTTTAAAACTGGTTGTATTTTCATCGTCGACTATGTCCGATGTAGCCGAACGGGTAACGCAGTTAACTTGTAACCATAACAAGTGAACGGTGCACGTTCGAATCCACGTTCAGATTCAACGTTTAAATTATTTATTTTAGGCATGTGATCCTTTTCCTTAATTAAGTAATAACATATTTTTTTTAAATAAATGGAACATGTTATTTATATATTAATAACATACCTATTGATTAATCTGTCACCAAATCCCTGTGCACGTGTACAGTACAGCTACGCTTTGTAGATAAGATATCATTTTAAATGATATTTGTGAACTGTTTTATCCTCCAATTGACACTAATAATTTTATTTATTGTTTAAAACACAAACAAATGATGCCGAACTACAAAATATTTAGGATTTGTCGTGTCAGATTAAAAAAAGGGCGAAGCAATAAAAAAATGAACTGTTATTATCGCAAATATATTACCGAAAATGCGGTAAAAGTCATCAGAGATGCAAATACCCGAGGACGCGTTATACAGTACACGGTGGCACGTGCGCATTAGCGGATCACAACTTTGGGGAAATCGGCATAGAATCCCGCTATATCTCTTTGACTTTGATGCAGTCTAACGAGCGATTGTCGTTAAAGGATGTCTACTACTGTGTGGACGGTTGGATGTCGACCCAGTTTGGTTCAGACGATTTAACAAAAGGTTCATTGTTTTCTCGCTGCTACCAAATTGTCATGTGACTAGACGTTGCAACACTCCTGCAAGAGACAGCCGAGGCATAATGGATAAACGTACTGATGATAATTGTTGTGAGTTTTCAGTCATCATATGGGATGACAGAAGAACTACGTTTTTGACCAGGCATTGGTGTAATTTACGAATTATTTGCGAAATCGTAAAAAAGAAGAGATCCTGTGCCGTCATAGACTTTCATACTTGAATGCTTTTTTAATGAATATTGCTTAGCGTTGTAGGTATTGCTCCCTCGGAACTTGTATACTACGAAAACGCTTGTTTTATCGCCATCGATGTTCAGGTTATTCTCCTGGGAAATGTGGTAACCTTTCATTTTATGCCGAGTACATAGTAAACTGTTCTAAAGGGACAAAAAGTGTGGTCTGGAAGAGAGAGGATTGCTTAATAGGGTCGGTTTATTAAATATATTTGACTTCATTTATCTGTATACTTTTCGATTTGTACTGAATTAATGAATGAGTAAATGGGTGGGTGATTGTATTCAAACTTAAGAAGAGTGGGTGATGTCACAGAGGTAATTCTCGGATCGAACCCAACCCTCCTTCCGTCTGACATTCCATGAGATTGAAGAAAATGATGTTAGAAAAGTAAACAAATTATGAACCATAAGTTAACGTAATTAAAATAACTTAACATACGATTAGCACAACGAGTGTCATAATATGTAAATTGCTTTAAATCAACTTCATACCAGCAACATTTCCACTTTCACATTCTCGAACTTTATGGGTCTTTGCTTCATCCATCTCATTGTCGTGGTCCACTTCGAATTCCAGCTGAGTGGGCAAACACTTACACATCTTGACCACCCAATGCTGTTTACACAACTTGATACACGCCTACAATGGTAAAATCAAAATGATTAAAACTATGGATAAATCCTTCAGGGTTAATATCATAATGATTAAAACTATTGAGCATTCCTTAAAGGGTAATATTTCAATAATTAAAACTATTGATAATTCCATAAAAGGTAAACTTATAATAATTTAAATTATGTATCATTTCCTCTAAAAGGGTCATCTTACAATAATTAAATCTTGATAATTAATAAACTTGACATTTCCTTAAAAAGTGATCTTACAATCTTTTAAAACTATGAATTTTTCATTAAAGAGTAGTCTTAAAATAATTAAAACTATATATCATTCCTTCAGAGTTAAAATCAAAATGATTAAAACTGTGCATCATACCTGAATAGGTTATATCGCAATAATTGAAATTAGGAATAATTCCTTAAAAGGGTAATCTGACAATAATTAAAACTGTTGATTATTCCTTAGAGCGGTACTAACACAAGTGTGTCAGAGGATTTAGCGTGATTGAAAACTGCCGTAAACTACCCATATTGTTTCAGAATTGAAGAGACAAAAAGAAAATATGAATACCATAGACGGTAATTTTATTGAATAACAGTTACAGTTGTAACGACAGGTTAATGGAAAATACATATTAAACTAAAACATATCATTATTTATAATGAGGGCGAATGTATCATACCAGCGAATTTTAGTACACAACACACAATATTTAGTAATAACACATGAAGGGTGAAATATACATGTATTTTATCGGAAAAAATATTTAACAGGGCGGAAGTTTCCCAGAAGACAATATATCTTACTTACAGGTATTGTATAATGAATACCGAAAGCCTTTTGGAAATCCTCCCCTACTGAGCATTCGCCGTAGGGTTCGCCTAGCCGTTCGACCTTCACCTAAAAGGAAACGATGTCCAACATAATACATTTGCAGAAGTTAGGTCCATATCGATATCCATATCAGTTCTTTTACATACTTCTAGAACAATAAGTCTATTACACAAAGGATATGCTAGGTTATTGTTTGTTTTATTTCAGGAATGAAACAAACAAAACATGGCAGATTACAGCTGTTCATAATCTCCTATATTACCGTTGATATAATAAAGAAAGCAGTGACAATGAAGGTTTGGGATAAAGGTCAACAACAAATTATGTATACTAATGTGCTAGCGATGTTGTCCGTCCAATTGTTTGCGTTGATCTTGTGAGGAGTGGGGGTTGGGCTGGTTGTCACGTCTACAACACTACTGTAATAGCCCATGCTTGCCTCCTATGCTACTTTTACAAATATGCTGTTGATAAATAATATCGGTGACATACAGATAATTCTTTATAATACACCGGCTAAAATGATATGTAAGTAAATATACAATAATATACTGACTGAAAGGTATTACGGATCCGTACTAAAAGTCCAGTAGATTAAGATCACCGTACCATTCTCAAGGCGATGGTGGTCTCGTGTCCCGGACTGAGGACAATGCCCTCCACTGTAGGGAACACTACAGTGCCTGGTTGATGGATCAGAAGCTTCACACCGTATCCAATGACAAAGCTGGTGATGTACTCCAGGATTTCTAGATTCAGGGTCAACCATAGCCCTTGAAGAATAATATCTACATGTAGTAATACAAAGGGCCGGTTTCCAAAACGGCCCCTTCTCTGATTCAAATTTCCTGTTGGTGGTGCATTGCCCATGCCGTTGTGGTCACAAATCTATAAAGTATAAATATTTAGGTCACTTGGTTTGTTTCTTATGGCTCCTCAAAGTTGTACCTTTCAGAAGCTGTCTAAGTGTTGATAAAATGTGCATGTTATGTAAAATATTATTGAAAATCTAATCAAATGATGGTCACCGTAAAGAATACATTCATGGCATGATTGTGACAAAAAATCATGTTTCCATCGCGCCATTTGGCTGTTTTATGGAAGAAACAATCTCAAAAATGCCATTTTCGATGATAACATTTTAGACACAAAAACTGTGTTTTTTAGAGAATACACCCTTTTATGGGCGTTGGATGCAAACCAATTTTTATCCTATTAAACAGTACGTAATATGCTATTGATGAGAGGAAAAATCATCAAAATGTAAGTGGTGGAACATTTTCAAATGTTGGGTTGAATTAGCCTATGGTTGAATTGCCGATTTTCGACTTTCTTTAGATAATTAACAAAAAAACGAGAGTATTTGCTCGGTATGTTGAGAATATGTACACAGATATGAAAAAAAGTGAGAGAAACACTTTTTCATAAAAAAAATCCAAGATGGCTACTTCACAAGTCCCCGTGGTTGAAGACATTGGCTGACAAATAGACAGAACAACAAACAAAACGTGTTCCTTATGATTTTGGTTGGTTTTCGCATTTACGGGAGTGTTCATAGCTACGGGCGATTGTATAATACCTATATTTATAAGTTTGGTTAGTCACATGGTAACGGGGATCTTTCATATCGAGCCCCAAACATACTTTCGACATATGCACTCCGTTGCCGCATGGAAAACTATTTCAAGTTTTGTCGGAATTTCTTTACCTGTGGTTGTAATGGTCGAGGGTTTTCCAGCGTCCTGTAATACCCAAGGTAGTACAAGATACTGGAGATGTGCGCACACATTCCCATCGTTCTCTCTCCAACTGGGCACTGGCAGTAGTAGTCCTTTATTGGGGCCTCAACATCGGGTGAAACGGTGAACCGTATCCAAACGTTATATTTCGTTTGGCTTTTGTGTCGAGAATGTATTTGACATCGGAGAAGGTCTGGGGAGTGCTGGTAAAGCCACACCTCATAGTCTCCGTCATCACTTAAATGTTCGGCGATGTAACCAGGAGCCAGAGATATCTGATACGTTCCACACGTAATGGTTCTCAAGTAATCAAGATCGAGACGGGGAAACAGTACGGAAGATGCATCCATCTTGACAAACTCGGACCTTGCCCGTCTAGATAGATCCGGATCTGTCTTGACTCTCTGAGCTAAACCATTCGGTGTTGTCAAACGGTCCTTCATACGTTCAGCCATTAGCCTATCTTTGGCATCTCTCTCTGGAGATCTCTGGTAGATCGGTCCTCTAATACCATTCAGACAGGCTGTGACGGTTCGAAGCAAAGCCTCGATGACATTGATAAAGCTGTTAGACACCAATTGCGTTCGGAAGAACGTCCAGTGTTTCAGACGACCATGATAGGATTCCACAATCCACCTCGATTTGGTGATAGTTCTGTCAAGATTTGCTTGGACGTCAGAATGTTGACTTTGACCGGGTTTCAGGTATGACGGCATGCTAGCATTGAGGCCAGAGGCTTCGAGAACTGGTAGGACATCTCTAAAACCTCGGTCAACGACAACGTTGTCGTCTGGTTGTAGCCAAGTAACTAGCTTGTCCATGACTTTTTTTGTAATTGTAGCATCATTTTCGCTGCCAGTGAATGGTCCTACTGTGTCCAGAATGTAGCCATCTGGTAAGGCGATGCTCATGAATTTGAGATAGTTTCTCTTCTTCTGGCCACAGTAGGACATTCTCTGGAGCTTGTGGTCGGAGCTTTTCTGGATATAAATATAGGTGCCATCTAATATGGCAGTGGCTTTATCTCCAAAAAATGCTTCTGAAAAGACAGTATTGTGCCCGAGCAACTGTTCTCTTGTCAAGTGATCCGGACCTAGAAATTGTGGGACTATCGATGTGTCTAATGCCTGTACTATGGAGTGGAAAGTTTTGGACACACTTGACTTGGAAATTCCAAAAAGAGAAGAACACTGACTCCAGGAAATGTCGGTTTTCAGTTTTACCCAGAACAGTAATAGAGCATCGTGTGTAGTCTTGGTATATATACCAGATGAAAGATATGGGGAACAGTGCGAGTGGATTTCGAGGAACTGATCTTTGGACCAACCTGTCCAGGCCATGCATGCCGAGTCATCAAGAGAAGAAAAGCTTATTGTAAACGCAGACTGGTTCTGTGAAAGGACGTGCGACACCTCTAGGAGGTCATTAATGATTTCGGACGATTTTGATGGTAACTGAGATTCCAAGGAACCTCTACCATCAAGGACAACCTCTGTAGACGGATCTAAGTCGTTACCAATAAGGTGAATGGAGCAGACGCGGGATGAGGTGGGACACCACAGTTTGTGTGAATAGATCAGGTGATGTCTTGCACGTTTTGGTAAGACTGATGATTTTGTTCCATTTCTTGCAAAGGTAACAAGACAGAGACAGCATTTTTTGTGTGAAGATGATCCATTCAAAAGATCATGAAGGGTCAGCAACGGCAGGATATGGGACGGGGAGTCGTCTTCTTCCTCTATTTCCTGGTTCTGCTCGGGTTCAGGTTCAGGCTGATTTTTGTTCCGAAGATACTTCATGTAGCACTTCTGGCAAATAAGTGCTTGTTCCTTTGCTGACATCAATCCTTGTTGCACCAGCGTATCTAGGAGCCATTTATATTGTGGACTATTTACATTGCGTGCACTTCTGTTCTTATTGCCACTACGTTTCTTGAAGTATACTTGACACCCTTCTCCAACACATTTACCCTCCATCTTGAAACAATAACGATTGGTTTATGAAGCGTCGATAAAGTAACAAAATAGCAAGCCACCGATGATTGCTGTAAACAGCTAATACTTAGTAGTTTGGTACAATTATGCGAAAATGTGTGATAAATAACGAACAACTAATTACACAAAATAACAAGACAATATAATAAATCACATTCAATACCTCCAAGAAGCGCAGAATTGATTGATTACTTAGAACAAAATAAAGTATTTCATATGGATAATCTATCTATTCGATGTGGCGTGGTCGGCAGGCACAAAGAAAGTGAGACAAGTCAGGGTCCCAACCCTGACAGAGCCACAACGCTTTGGAGATGGGACAATAAAACAAGGAAAGTGAGACAAGAATAGCTAGCGTCGAGTCAATGATTCCGTAAACGTATAGACAAAGACAAGAAGATACGGATAAATGTACAAGGCCACACGATCAGAAAATTCAGAAGAGGACAACTTGAGATAGAACAGTATTCATGTATCAGGGTGTCCTCAGTGTAAATCTTTATATCGATACTGTTTATTTAGTCGTTACACATCATAAAACTGTCATGAAAATATCCGCTCTGATATTCAATATAAAAGTTTGTATATAATAAGCTATATAATAGGGTTTCAGACAAGGTTGTTACTCATTTCCCCTTTTCTTTCAATTTACAACCACATTCAGGCGGCGATATGAGAACGTTCCACCACATGGAATTAGCTGATTTTTGGTACACATATGAAACAAGTAAAGCTCTATCCGATTTTCTGATGGAAATTTGCATCCAAAACTATATAACGGGAGAAAATTGCAATTTTATGGCATTTTTCTTCATAATTGTGTCTCTGCAAGTGCATTTTCATCCGAGAATTTTTGTTTTTATGTTTTATGAATAAACACGATGTTTTGGAAATATTTATCAAAAGAAATTTATACTATGTTGCGAATTACAATTTCGAGATAACCTTCTTTTATTTACGAACTTATGTCTTTGATACTGAAATTGACAACTTTATCAAAATACATTTTCACTGAAATTATGAAATCTGGGTGTCGGAAAGGTGTAGTATTATTCTTCGGAAAGGAAAAAAAACAGTAGTTGAGCTAGATAAGAAATTATACGGGGGCAGGCTCCTATGGAGAATTAACATTACTGGAAACAGGCCCTTTTTAACAATGATACACTACCCTGCGATATTCCGTCTTTGCGTATTGCAGAGTTATCTTCTCTTGATAGCAGGTATTGATTGTTACGTCATTTGTTGGTGTGAGAAAATTTCGTCGTTTTCTAAAAAAATGATGACGTTACTCTCACAAACAAATGACGTAACAATCAATACCTGCTCTCAAGAGAAGATAACTCTGCAATACGCAAAGACGGAATACATGTGTGACAACATGTCCGACCACGGACTTAGATAGCAATCTAATTCCTTGGTTCGACGAATGGATAGGTTAAATACTAAGGTTTTAAGTGGTCAGGGATAAGTCGAGCAATGTTCAAGTAATCCGATTTTTTTTTAACAAAGAATTTATAAGAATTCAGAATGTATAAGAACTCAGAATTTATAAGAACTCTGGACCAAGAGAACTATTTTCGGAACAGAAGATATTTGAGTAACGCCAGTTCGAGTAAGTTGGGTCTCCCTGTATATAAATAATGGATATTTTACAATAAGATCATGCACCTAGACCCTCGTAGCAAGTAGAAATACGAAATAACAGATGGTGTACACCTGCATTTCTAGATTCAGAGTCAACCATAGCCCTTGGAGAGTATTTTATATATTTTAATACATATTTACAATGAATCATTTCAAGTTCAGTCACCCACACCCCGTCACCGCAGAAACACAAAGCACTTATTAAAATATCAGTGATTCGATATGCGGTAGGCAAAGCGCATTAATCATTTACTTTACAGCATGGCCAGATTTTCAAGCTCGAAACTATTGTTTTTCAAGGACACAACATTGATACCGTATCTGATGTGAAATGGGAGAATGATGTGCTGTAAGTATCATATATCCTGTCTGTTTTTACTTAGTTTAGTTTTCCCCTTAGATAGAACCAAGCATGTTAAGATTTCCTGTTAGCATTGTGATGTTTCATAGAACAGAACAAGAATATGCTTACTCTATTTAGGCAGAAAGAACTAAGAAACTAGACCTTGAGTTGTGATTTATGTTTTACAACTTTTGTGCTTTAAGTCTCACTATTTCCACACATACACTGGCAAAAACAAAAGTCCGTGTCAATTTAACTACACATTGCACATTTGACTTGAATTAACATGAAAGTAGCCTGAATATATCTTCATGTGAATTTGACCTGAAGTTCAGGTCAATTTTAAGTCATCACATTTTAAGGTAAACATTTCTCCTGTGTACCGTTTACCCAGTGCGGCTGTGCGCATTACCAACTAATTTTGCTAAGGGACTGCTACAAGTAAATAATGCAAAAGGGAATCTTTCACCTATCGTTTTAGGAGACAATGTCACCGTCATAACATCAACGTCAGGTATCTTGTCTTTGGCCTGTTTTATGGTAAAACAACTTTACTATGGTGCGTGTTATGATATGCTTCATATGTTGCTACATCATAAACCTTCCAAAAGATTGAAAACAAAAATTACTTACCATTTAGAGGACCAGGTTTTCTCGAAAAGTAATCCGAGGACTCAAGTGTGAAACAGTTTCCGTATTCCGAACTTTGAAATAGTGTGAAATTACTGAAAAAAACCCAAAATAGAAGCGTTTATCAACACGATCTTTGGATTTTTTTTTGAAACAGCTGAAAAAAGAATATTAGCGTTATCAATATCCAATGTGAATCGCGCTACGCTACGTAACACTAAGAACGGGTATTTTGGCATTTTTGTTCACACATATATGCCGAATAATGATTCCTGATTGAATTGTTTCAGTGTTTTTGTATTAAATGATTCCTTTAGTTAATGCAAATCCTCGTGAATAAAAGCAGAGTCACTTCCTCACGTAAAGAGGCAAAAAGTGTTATTATACCATGATAGTTATACATTAGCAACAGATCTGTATTCTGCTTTGTTTTTTGGCAACGGAAAAAAACAAAAATCAATTCGTCAAAGAAGAATACTTGCGATAACGTTACTGTTATTTATCAAAATACCTCTAAGAATAGCAACATAGTTATGTCTATGACATATTTTCCCTTTAGTTAAACAGTTCAGGCTAATATTATGTTCACAATATTAACGCCACAACGCAAACCTAAGCAGGGATTTATTGTGGATAATTAACTCAAGTGTTCCCAACTCTTTAATACTGTTGATTTATTAACGAAACGATGAGTAAATACTTTGTGAAGCACTTGTAATTTTATGAACATTTCTTCTTGTTCAGAGATTGTCCATTTTTAAACACTTACTTGTAAAAACATTTGCGTGCGTTGTAGCTACAGGACACTAGCATATCCTGTATAGAATGACCCAACTTCTCTCGTTTCTCGCTGTTACAAAACAAGTGATGGTTTAGAAAAAATCAAGAAAAAAGATATAATAAAATGTTGTCACAATTGTTTTAAAAGCCATTTCAAAATGACTTTTTAAAAACATTTTTACTCTATTATTATATTACCTGGGTTTTTCTTATTTGTTTGTACTGTAAATCGAGAAATTTTAGCTGTAGTTCCATTTTCATCTTTTTCGCCCCCAGAGCAGAGCGGGTATTGATTTTACCGGAGAAGGGCGAACGTTTGACCGGTATATAGTACTTTATGTATAGTTAAATTTTAGACCCAAGCTTAAAATTATTTCAGGTTTCTGTACGCCTGTACCCAAGAAATTGTTCTCACATTTTAAGTTAGGGTTTGTGCTCAATGTACATCATTGCGACTGGCTGATATCGCGTGATATAATCAAAATGTGAGAACTAAATAATAAAACCTGAAGGTTAAAAGTACCATTAAGTCAAAACAAATATTATAATGATATTTTAATAGATAATTTCCAAAAGTAATATTCAATATGAATCATATTTTGCGATGCATCTTACAGGATTATAATTGTCCAAAATTTATTTGAGAAAAAAACAAAACAAAACAAAAAACAAAAACTACAGGGGTCGTCCACGAGACGTTGACAACCTATCCGCATCTGACCTTGGAGCGTGACCTGGAAAGGCCTAGGACCTTTTGAATCTGAATAGGGTCTAGTAAGAGGCAACTAACCCACACACGGCGGCCGAACAGAGTCTACCGCCAGTGAAGGAAGACGTAAAACCAGTAAACCAAACCAAACTAAACCCAAGATACATATGTTGGACAGATAACTCTGCTGGTTAGAACGACATTATAAAATTCGGGTTTCAGAATCCTGGTCCTGCCCAACTGAAGTTTTACACCCAGATCACTGGTGTTAACCTTATATGCATTATGTTTATACTACAAAAACTATTTTCACCGATATAGACGTAGTCCGCAGAGGGAGGATACTATTAGTTATCTCTGGGTTAGGAAGGGTCTACGGGCTCATAGACCCCTTTGGTTTTATAGACCCCGGGTCGATACAGACCAAAGGGGTCTATAAGCCCGTAGACCCCCTCCTTATCCAGAGATAATTTATTTGTCACCCTGAAAATCTTTTATTCCTTTTTTTGTTCAAAGTTTTAAGTCACTTTGTGAGTTTGAGTTGTACTTGACTGCTACCAAAACAGCCCTTACCGGCTTTCCAGACACCTTTTCGGCATTATTTCGGACATTACACAACCATCTTTGTAATTAGCACCCTAGTGGCCCCTCATTGCCTGTTTCGTTGAATTTTCTTTGCTCTCAATTTAGTAGGCTATTTCATCCTGTGAATTATTGGCACACATCGAACGCATGTGTGAGTCGGACGCCATCTTTGTTGTTATGAAGAGGTATTCTAGTTTGAGTTATCTCCCCTCGCACGTGCTTTTATAGATCCCGGCAGAGCGGGATCTATAAGACCGTGACAAACAATAGAAGTGGGCGCCCGGATGTTTGTTAATGCCCCCGCTAACGCGAGAAAACACAATGGATCTGATTTGTTTTTGTTTTACTTTCTATTAACAACAGCACTGTATGGTCATTTAAGGAAATGTCAGGTTTTGGTGGTGTTTTGCCTACCTATAATACCGAAAACAAAATCTATTTACAGAATACAGTATGTGCTGTGTCAACATTTCAAACCCTGAAAAACAGACCTTAGGTAGAAATATTCAACGAAAGACTATTGAGCTCTCATTCGTAGACGAAAAAACAAATTCGCGAAATTACGTGAAAACTTCGAGATATAACGCAAAGCTTTCGTAGTTTAATTGATAGTTACTGTTTGTCATTCAAATTATCACTCCGAACAAAAAGTATTGACTGTTTATTGTGAACAGGTAAACACTTTAACACGGAGTTTAACGTGCAAACCTTTTAAAGCAATAGTATATATGTAGACCCAAAGTCTTACAAACAGGAAATGCGTTACTTGTGTATCTCTTCCAAAAATGGACCACGACAATAACGGTAATCGAACACGTTCTAAATACCTAAGTTTGACCCGGGGAGGTCATAGGGGAGTTATTTCGTTCCGGCCAAAATGAAATAATTAATATTTTTGCGTCCAGGTAATATTATTCATACTAAATAATTCACAAAATTTGGATACGGAGAGGTCATAAGGGAAGCATCTGGTCCTGGACAAATTGATCAATTTTGAGATTTAATTATAATGGAATTGAGATACACATGATATCGATCCAAGAGACCTTGTGTTAGCTGACTGGTCACTAGTGTGTTTTCTACGACTGGTCACTTATGAAAGCTATGATAATTACTTTTTATCGACGAAGAATGTCCTCCAGATGTAAAAAAGGATATCAGACTCACTTGTGCGCCAGTCGGGAGGGTTAGCAGTAATACGACCATCACCGCCGACGGTTCTGGATTAAGACAATTTTCGACTTTTGGAACTGCGATGTTATTCTAAATTAATTATACATTTGATTGACTTTACTTCTCATTTACATTAATTGGTTTGGTTTGGTTTGTTTGTGTTTAACGTCCTTTTAATAGCTATGGCCATTTAAGGACGTGCCAGGTTTTGGTGGTGGAGGCAAACTGGAGTGCCCGAGAAAAACCACGAACCTGCGGCACGTACCTTGCGACTGCCAAACGTAACCTTTTAAAGCAATAGTATATATGCAGGCTAGATATACCATTGACAAGGAATATAGGCCTATAGTTGATCAACGTTGACGTTTTCAAGCCTTGTGACCATCTTCAGGCGAAATGCAATTAATGGTGTAAGGGGAGGTTATGATATATTTCTTCTTTTTATTATTTCTAGGTGTAACGACACTGAAATAGTTGCCGCTTAGTTCCTGTTTTAATAGTTACAGAGGACGTCATAAGATGGCGATCTGCATTGTTCGAATCTGACCAGCTCCACCAAGAAATGCTGTGTTATACATCTGTGTGTGTTTTAGACGGTGGGTACATATCTGTCATTTTGACAGCGTGCTAATCTTCTTGTCATTATGCTATCTTAACTCCGATTATACCCACCCATGAAGAGAGGTTTATGTTTTTGTCAACCGACTCGTCACTGACCTTTGTTCGAACACTTCAGCCATCTTGGTTTACATGTCTTTGTACAGGTCATATACATAGACCACTAAACACGTTCTAGTATCCTTCGTATTTAGTCATTCTACTCCAACTACATAATGTCGGCTTCAAGGAGCACCCCGTCAGGCCCAGCTAAAAGGAAGTCTCCGGACTCAGTGTCCCCCGGACTTACTGACCACCCAACCCATAGGAGGCGGAATTCATTCTCGGGGGTACCTTCCTCTCTGGAGGAGGGCCAGCCACTCCAGCTTGATGTAGGCAAAGGCAAGATTATAGACCTTACCAGCTTGATGCATTCCACCCTTTCCAGTCCTTCATTTGTATCCAGTATAGCACCTGCATGGGCTGAGGCGTGCATACCCCACCTCCGTGAAACTTTCCAGACTATTGTTCGCGATACTATGGCAGACATGATTATACCGCTACAGCAGACGATACATGACCAGGCCACTTCAATCAATGAACTTAAGTCATCAAACGATTCCTTGTCATCCAAGTGCTCAACTCTTGAGAATCAGGTTGGATCCCTAGTATCCCAAGTCGAGGAGCTTGAGCAGTACGGTAGGAGGAACACCCTCAGGTTTCATAACATCCAGTTATCTAGAGAGCAACAACGTTTCACTGACCCAGTCATTATTGACATCTGTAAATCTCAGCTAAATGTTGACCTACGCCCTGAAGATATCTATAGGTCTCATGTAATTGGGAAGCCCACTAGCGAAGGGAAACATCAAATTATATGCCGGTTTAGCAGCTGGAACCTTAAAAACTCTGTGTTTAAAAATAAAAAACGCTTAAAAAATAACCCGTCTAAACTCTTCATTACCGAAGACCTGACCAAAGCTAGGCAAGCAATAGTAAAGGATCTTGGACGAGCCAAATGGACCAAGTCCATTGATTCTTATTGGACCAGTGATGGGAGAATTTTCTTCAAACGATCGAGAGACTCGGACAAAATCCTAATCAAAAACATTCACCATCTGCATTCCATCATTCCAACTCTTCACAATGACTCCTCTGCATGATCAGTATTGAAGTACTCTCAGTACTTTGATTTAGTGTATCGCGTCCTGCAACCAGCATCAGCAACATCTTCACCAGCACTGTCTATATCTTCTGCAACTTTCTCCGCTCGAATAACCTCACTGTTGACTGTAAATGTCACGTACGTTCATGGTGTGTGTACTTTTATCACTTTACGTGATGATCCAGAATCCTTTTTATATATAACGATTCATATAGATAGTTAATCCTAAAGAGATATTCATATCCATGTATCGAAATGGTAACTTGCCATTATATTTGGACATCAATATGGTTGTATTGCATACAGAATGATGTTATTTATTGTTTGATATTTAAAAAGAATTTAAAAAAGTGTCATTCGTTTGATATATAAGGCAAGTATCATAAGTTTCATATATTGATTGATATCCAAAACAAAGATCATTTATTGTTTTATAACCAAAATAAGTATCATATAATGTTTGATACCCAAAATAAGTATCATTTCTGGCTTGATAATAAAAACGAATATAATTTATTATTGGATATATCAAAACAAGGATCATTTGTTTGATATCAGAACTAATAGTATGTTTGGTTGATATCTAAAACTGATATAATTTATTGTTTGATATCTAAAAGTAATATAATTTATTGTTTAATACCCAAAACAAGTACCAGTTATTGTTTTGATTTCTGAAATAAGTATTATTTATTGGATCGATATCTAAAACAAGTATTATTTATTGCTTGATAACCAAACAAGTATCATTTATTGTTTGATATCCAAAACAAGTATTACTCATTGTTTGATATCCAAAACAAGTATTATTCATTGTTTGCTATCCAAAACAAGTATTACT